AGCATGATCAGGTCATCTAACAGTCTCTTAATCATCAAGTGAGATAGAAAGCTGGGCTCACCCAAAATGTTCACCCAAATCAACATGCAGGTCCACTTGTGCTATCACAGAAACATGGTGAAGAATCTGGGAACATCTACTAACTGCGTGAAGTGTACCGAGTGGTCCAGTCCACATGAGTGTCTTATCAGCACAAAGGATTTCGGCACCCCTTGTTCACCTGGAAACACTTCGCCATAAGCCACCAGGGCGTACAAAGGCTCCTGGGCAACAAAACGGGCGCTGCCAAAGAGGAAGCGAAGCGGACAAATTGACCAAGGGCAGTGGAGATATCTCTGACAGAATTCACGGCTTAGACCCGCAAGAGCCTCTCTGATGGGAGATGTAGTGTACGCTCATCGCAAGTGGTGCTAAGGCTGCTTGCACTACCAAAATTGGCGGTCAGGGCTTCAAGCCGATGTACCAACAACTGTAGAGCTCAAGGCAAACTGCTGGATCCAACCGGTATGCGAAAAAGCAACTCCCCCTACTGCTCTTGCGGTTCTGCGAATTTAGTGGGACTCCGTAAATCCTCCAAGAATCGCCTGCAAAAAAGATCAAAAGACCCAGAAAGGGTTGCAGGAAAGCAGCCCAAGTAGCTCTGTGGAACTGCTGGGGGCCTTGGCACTGGGTGTCCTGAAAGCAAATGAACCATGAAACACAACCCCAGCTGAAGCAAAACAGTTTCACCAGGCACATCGATTTCCGGCATTGGCAACTACCGGCGCCAATCATCAAAGATCCCCATAGCCATGGGTATCTGAACTGGATAAGGGTTCCTTAGGGCCTTACGGGCTTCAGGCGAGTTTTAGGTGGTGCAAGATGTTGCGTGTATGTTGGCCCATATATGCAAGACAAAATGCAGTAGTGGGCCAACTTGGCAAGCTCCTGGATGAAGGATGGCAATGCGTTGATGCCCTGGCGCATGACCGGATCAGGGATCACAGGACGGCTCGTTCTTTGGCAGAATCAACCATGGATTCCGATAGCACAGAAGGATAAGAACTGTCAAGTGACTCTGCAGGGATATGGCTTGTGGCTTGTGTATTCCCGCGTGTGCGTTTGTTTCCTGTTCACCGTATACGCACGACTCACTGACATTCCCGAGCCAACAGGGCAGCTTCAAGAGCAGGGACACCTTCCTTACTTAATACATATTACCGTTTTTTTGTGTTCAACTCATATGACCAAACAATACAGTAAAAACACACAAAATAGTGGAGTTTTAAAGAGTGGAAGCTCCTTCAATCAGCAGGCGTAGCCCCTGCTTCGAAAGACCGTCCTGCTCTGTCCGTCCCTGCATATCGCCCGTTACTGCGGCGAAAAGCACCTCAGGCAAAGGGCTTAAGGCATCTTCCAGCGTCTCACGAGAATCGCCCTGACAGCCGTGTTCAGGAAGTGGGATTCCGGATGGACACATCCGACCTAGGCCAGAAATCCTGCGCAACCTGAAACCGAAATCACCGGAAGTTGTGGCCAATGTGGGTCATTCCAGGCATTGCCAATACTATACGAGTGCCAAACACATCCAAACAATCTGGAATAGAAACCTCTAAAACCACTCCAATTGTAGGCAAATATGTCGTGCCACACGACATACGCGTCTAGCATAGAGGAGGTTTTGGGAATTCTTCCTCACAACATCTCGTTTCTGGCATGTGTTTTTTCCTGAGGATTCTTGAGTCGCCACTCGCACACCTCAGGGAGAACGAAATCCTCATTCGAATCATATAACAACCAACCTGCGAGGATGCCAGGATCTCGCAACCTTCGATCGTACAAAGGTGTTGATTCCCCCCAAATTGGGCTCCATCCAACAGGGAGCCCCCCCAACAAAATATTAATATAGTATTGAGCGGGAAGAAACAATATAGTGGATTGGCTCAATCCAAACCAACAATTGGATTGTATTCCCCAAAATTGGACTCGACTCAACATACGGAGATCAGGAGAGACTGACCAGTGCGGCTGTTCGAAGACCTGACTGTGTTGTAACATGAAGCTTGTGACCGGCGTCACTGGAAGATCTCACATAATTCATACAGACTTCGAACCGAAGCATTGACTTTAGAACACTTTAGAAAGAAATGCTTCAAGTCCATGTAACCAAGCACGAGTGATCTTCCAACATAATATCTAAAACATGTTCTTAAAACATGTTCTTTGGACAAGACACGCTCAGAGTGCTCCCTCCAGGAACAAACTCCACTCAAGTTGGGACTTCTCTTCATCCCAACACTTCTAGCCCAGCTCCCATCCCAGGCCCAAGCTGGGCCCCATCTTTCCCATCCCTTCCTCGGAGATGCGTCGATGGGCACGCTGCAGCTCGTGGCCCAGGAGCAGCCTGGAGGACCGGCGGATACCGGCGTCTGCGCGTGGTCGACATGCTTGGTACATGTACCTGGACCATCCAATGGGTGTTCAATGGAGATCCCTACGTAGTGTAGGGTAGTCCATGGAACACCCATTGGATGGTCCTGGTATGTACTGCATGGATCCAATTATGTTTCTAAAACATAAGCAAAGGAGCTGGCAGCTGGGACCTAGAAAAATCTGGCTCTTGTCTGGCTTTGACCTCACCAGGACCCAGTACACCAACACACGACTAGACCGCACCCCAAAAGCGGCAAGGTCGACCGGCAGGCGCACTGTGTGGCCGGGGATAAGCGCGGCACCAGGTTCAAAGTCTCCTCGCCGCTTTGGGCAAAGCGGAAGCGGCCACAGCTGGCGAATCATCAGGACGGAAGTGGCTGGCTCTGTACGTCAGCCATCCAAGAAAGTCGCTGCAGAAAACCAAGTGCATGGGAAGTGACTCCGTGACTCCCACAATACAGACCAAAGATAAGTAAATTGTTCTTGTATTCCTTTGCTTGCCCCTTTTCCCGCTAGCTCCAGCTCTTGTAACCTCCCGTATACGACCTGCCACGATCTTTCCCAGGTCCTTCCAACCACTTGGCTCCCAAGTCACAGCTCCCCTCTACGTACGCGCTCCCTCGTACCACCCCGGCCACGACTGGGTCTCCCGGCCGTTCCCTGACGGGTGGGATCCTCGTGAAGCCGCGGAGGATAAGCGGGCTGTGGGGTCGTGTATACGAGACGAAAGAGGTCGGTTCACCCGGTGTGGTCGTGTCGTCTACTATATCTATAGCTATATATATAAGTTATAGTCGTATACGAGTAAACGTATGAGTTGCTCGGTAAAACCATGTAAAACTAAAATTCAGAACATCTGGCTCGAATTCTGGACTTGCCTCCCCAGCCACCAATGAACATCCCTTGCGTGTGTGTCAGCCAAGCCAGCCACCAACGAAATTGAAAAGCTTGACTTTCTAAGATCTGACCCTAAGGCCCTATTTCAAACGTTTGAAGTCAATTCGCCTCGACAGGAGGATGACCAACTCCACAAAAACGGAGGTGAACTCCACTATAACTACCATGAGTGTTGGAAATGGAAAGTGTGTATGCATAACATTATACAACCTCCCCTCAAGAACCTAAGCCAGGGCCCCCCATTCAACCCACCACCACTTTTGGGAGGTAACACATATTTGGAGAATCATAAATTGTATTGCGTTCCATGAAATGCGGGTTCCTCTACCAACGGTCCAAACCGTGTTTGGTAGACATGTCTATATCTCATCCACGCATACAATCCGTGTGCCCACGCCCAAACGGAGAGCTCCGCCCAAGAGGATTCGCCTCGGTGGGAGGATTGGGGACGAGAACGACGTGAGGCCTTGGGTGTGTGACTCACGACGTCCCGACGAGAAAAGCAACACGAAGGGTGAATGAACAGTGACCATTAAATGTGGCAAACAGCATCAAGCGACGTCAAACAGCCTTCCCAGCTCCGTCAAAGGCCACCATTTTTGGAAAATTTGACCGTGAACAAGGACCAAATCCTCTCGTCCCGATCGACCCCATCCTTCACCGGCCGGATTCCCCTCAATGAAGGATCGAAAAAACATTGACCAAAGGTCCGCAGAAGGCCTTACTTGGGAGTTGAACAAGGTCGCAACTACCAGAATTGCTGAATTGAGGGCTATGACTTGGAGTGGCTTTCTGCACCTTAGAAAGTGTTATCACATGGATACCTCAAGCCAGTTCATGATCGTCTTCCAATGTCGCCAGGAAGGCCTCTATCTCTCCGGCTCAATGCACCATCTGCTTTGGGTATTTAAACTCTGGGGGTTGGGTCTATCCTATTAGCAGTAAGAGTGGATGATGATGGTTAAGTATTGTTAGTATGGCAGGGCCTTGTTCAAAAATAGTGATAACTATTGTTTACTCACTGTTGCAGGTAAAAGGACAGACCCAATCTGGGGAAATCTGGGGACTATTTGTGCGGTCATCCCATGTCTGCCCCTGGTCTCCGTGGCACCTCTCTGTGGCTCGCGGCGCCTCTGCGAAGGGTTTTAGGCCGGGAGAAGGAGATGTCCACTGAGACATCATGCACAAACCAATGTAGAAGAAAGCACTTGCAACTTGTAACCCATGATAATCAATCACCTGTCTGTCAAACAATGAAAAATTGTGAATTGAAGTGGCAACCCGCTGAAATCACAATGGAATGCTTTGGAGGAGGTCAGATTTACATCCGAGAAAGCATGTGTCAAGGCTGTCGGTGAAATGTGACGCAGTTGGTCGTGTATGCAGGCACATGCGCAAGTTGGACGAGCCAGCCAACTCAGACTAAGAAGGAACATGCGCACATCTTCCAATCTGAGGAAGGCACACTTTAACTTTACTTCCACATGGCCAAAACGTTTCCCTCTCCAACATGCTCCCTTTGGCTCTGCCATCAGAAAAAAAAAAAAAACAAAACATCACACTCCGACTGCTGCCTTTTCTCCATCTGAGAAAGCACCGTAAAGTCCGGCGCTGTCCCAAGAGACTCTCTGTGACAACAAGGGGTCACCGTGAAAGAGAACAACCTCTAGGGCCACTTTCAAACCATGTTTGCATCACAAAAACAGAGAGATGATGATGTCCAGGGGTGTTGTGGAGTCCTAAGTCGTCTCAGCCATGACGCCCCACCATGCCGATCAGATCCTCTGCCGTCTCAGCCGGTGGTCTCAGTGAGAGGCGGAGACCTCCGGCTGTGCCGCAGGGCCAACCGGCTTAGCTCTGCCATGAGCGCTGGGAAGATGTACGAAGATGAGGTGGATTGCTCACAGCTCTGAACGAGCTCCAGGAAGGCGACTAAAGACCTGAGAGTTCGGACTTAGAGACGTAGTGGAGGTCATGGGGTACAGAAATGAGTCGGTGTGCATGGGTAAACCAGGAGGATGAAGGGTTAAGTTTCTCAATACAATCTGTGCGACCAAAAAAAAACAAAAAATACTAAAGAGTGTGCTCGTGATTTTCAGACAGCCAAAATCAAACACCGCCCAACGGGGATCGTCCAAGATCGTCCATACGTCAGCACGTCGTGGGAATCCGCTTGGCCTCCTTCTACAAAGGCCCCCCCCAGACCAAGTTTGTACCTGTCCGGGTTCACCGAGGAGGCGAGGACATACTCAGTCGTTTGATGTGGAATCGTGGAATTGTACCTTTCCAAAACATGATGGCCCAGCCGTACTCCCAACAGTCAAAAATAGATGAAACTTCAGTGGAGGCCTTCGCTATTAGGTTGGAGGCATCGCTACTAGGGTGGAGGCCATGGCCACCTACTGGGAACAAGAAGTCAGCTTCAGTCCTCTTCCCTCATCTTCCGTGCCGCTCCTGGAGTCCCCACCTCTGGGGCTCCCAGCTGTTGTCGGTGCTGTCCCAGCGCTGCCCGCGCCAGCGCCGCCAGCGCCCGGCGCCAGGGCGTGTGCGCTGCAAAGGCTGCGTGAGCGAAGGCATCGGGCTGGAGCTGCTGCTGCGAAAGCCTCAAAACATGAGACTCTAACATGGACGAGCACCGTGTTTTTTGGGGTTTTGTGGGTTTTGGATGGTTTTGGTGCTGTTGTCAAAGGGTCTATCATTGTAAATCATAGATGATCGAAGTGCACGGAGAGGATTTGCTCGTCAATTGCAGCCCAACCAGTAAAGGGGAGCGGCGCAGCGAGCACGCAGCCTTTCCGAAACGCAGGTTCACTCAGACTGATGCCAAATGAGAGTACACATGAGTCAACTTGGTCAACAGGCTGCTCTGCGGGTCATTTACGCCCAGCAAAACTCGCAGAGAAAGATCTAGATCGCAAAAACACATGCACAAGCACAAGATTAGTCCCAAACTGGTGGGTCTTCTGCAAACCCAAGGAGTTGAACATGAGAAGGGGATGATGATCAGATTGGTGATCTCAGGAGCCTCCGTTCGCTCCAACGGCTGGAAGCTTCGTTGCTTAAAAGCTTCGTTCGTCCAAATGTTAGTGGTCTTCACAGAAACGAAGTGGTCTTCCAGGTTCCCAAGTTGACTCCGCTGACTCAAAAAATACAGGTGAGATCGGTCCAAACGGCACACATGTCGTTTTACGAGTTGTGTGCCCAGTTCTCTGGAACCACGGTATCAGTGGAGCCAGGGTGTCGCTGGCTATTCTCGGTTCGGCCGTGGGCAACACGCCGTGTCAGGGCAACACACTCTTCAAATGCAGACTTGGGAGCCCATACATTTGTTAGTTAACTCACTCCTATTCTTCCTGTTTGGAAATCATGAGTTACTTGGATTCGGATGGGGCTCCAGTCATTGATTTGGCATGAAGGAGACTCCAATCTGTCGAGACCTCCTTTCAAATTGAGCCGCTTCCTCTCAACGGCGAAAACGGATTATTCCTGCCGCTTCGTCTCATCATCTCTCATACCATGGCTTTGTCCGCATCCTCGTCTCCCTCCTGATTCAAGCCAACCAGCCATTCCCCCTGCAATCACCATTGGGTGTGCTTCAGAAGTCGTATTTTGTCAAACAAATCCAAACAAAGTCAACACTAACACCAATAATCAAGTCATCTTATGAGCTCTATATATAGACCCCAGCCAAACACATGACGTGACGTTGGGAAACCTTTCCGCGACGCCCGCGACGTCACGTCATGCCCAATGCCCAGCCCAAAGAGATGCGAGCGAATTTCGAGCTGCGGGATATCGTAGAACTTCTACAACTGGCTGCTTAAAAAAAACGGAGTCTTTTTTGAAAAAGACCAATTGCTTGTCACCAAGACGAACATGAATTCCCGATGCTGTCCCAAGTCCAGGCTCGGAAGCCGAACATCGGCCGGCCATTCCGAGAAGCGAATGCAAGGGACCCCAGCCACCCCAAAGCGGCAAAGACGAAGATTCCAAAGACAGGTCAGTGGAAACAAGGTGAAAGGAGGTCAGTGGAAGTGACAGGAGGAGGTGAAGGTGACAGGAGGAGGTCAGGTGAGGTGATGTACCTTTCACTTCATGTTCCAGCAAGGTGAAAGGTACATCAGCTCATCGGTTTGTCAGTGTTGGGGTGGACCTCATCATTGCATTCTGGGTTTCGTGTGCACGAAGAACCCCTGGCTGGAGCCAACACTCCCTACAGTTGTCGACTTACCACATGAAAAACCTATATCTGCAAAAAGTACACCAAACTGTACTAGGCAGCTCTGCTCTTACAGTTCAACGCATTTTTACACATATTTCATATAACTGTACTGATATTATTTTTTGATTTTCATATGACAAACACAATTGACAATTTAAAACCAAAATTTTTGTCAAAATCTGCTCTGCTGTGAGTAGGCACAGCCTGTCCCCCAAAGTCTCTCGGGGCGTCGGGGCGTCGTTTGGCCAGGACAAAACGCGTGGAGAGTGTCTGAGGTCTGGTCTGGTCCGCAAATGTCCGACCATTTGCCATGCAGTGCACACCGAAACAGCGAGCATTCTCCATTTAGAAATCTATACATGTCGTCATGCCTCATCAGAAATGGTTGTTTGTGTTGGTGTGTTCGTGTTTTTGGTTTCATTCTCAAAGACTCTGTCATCACGCTGTTTGCCATTCCACCACTTCCCGTTGCGCTCCTGATCGGGATCCTTGGACTTCCGCGAGATGGATACCCTGCCCTCCTGGCCATGGAGCCATTCGCTGCGGAGGTTGAAGCCATCCAACGCTGCTGGATGTTTCGGCCATTGATCAATATCCAGAGGTCACGCGGCCAATACTTGCTTTGCAGATGATCGTAGAAGGGATACAAAGGGTCTTTTTGATCGTAAAGGTTCTTGGCGAAGCAGTATAGTCTATCCAAATGACATGAAGCTTGTGCTTTATCTTGTGGAACTCTCGAGATTCCCTCTTGTGATTCAATGTTACATTCAATTCATATCATATCTCTTACAGTATATGCTTGGAAAGTGTCCAAACTCAAGGGAATGACAAAACCACCAAAAATAGATGACAAATTCACAAACTCATCTTTGGTGCTGTCAAGTCCGGACTCGAAACACCTGTGTGCTGAAGAATATGCCCCTATACATATATATGTATAGGGGGATCTCTATATCCCTCCTAGTTTACTTGGAATGTACTCCTCTCAACCATTGGAGATCCGTCAACTTATGCAGGGATGTGGAGGCAACGGATGGAACAAATGACGGATAAATGAATGTTCCCTCTTCATCCCTCTTCCACGTTTCAGTCTATGTAATCCGGGAATCACTACAGTACTACACGACTATCTTTGAAACATACCTGGATGTTGAGACATACCAGCTTCTGATCCAACCCCGCCCCAAAAAGTGCAAGAAAAAACACAGTTCCCACAGATCCTTTGCAATGGAATGGATGTGCTGATAGTAGGACCGATTGAAGGCGGTCTGAACGATTCCCACGCTGTCCTGCCGCGGAGAACACTCCGCGTCGGGTTGAAGTCTGTTTCCGGCATCCGGTTAGAGACGAGCACGCGACGTCGACGACTGGTCGAAATGGTCGATGCAACATCGCAACCATTCGTTGCCTGGCGGGTGTCCAAACAGGATCCCAAGAGCAAAGGAGGTCAAGTTTAAAGACCTTTGCAAACAATTTGTTTGGCACCTGTAGCTGACTCTTGTCTAGGCACAGCAGCCTCAATCTGTTCTGCAAAAATGATAGCTACAATCAGCCAGCAACAACATACACGATATTATCATCACAAAATATTGCTTCATATGCACTTGGAACATAATGTCGACATCATAATATGATTGGTAATTATACCCTGCATAAAGCTAAGCAATACCCAAAACATACTTATAAATACACCCCTGGTCCTAGATGTCCCAATTCCAGCCTTTAAACAAACGTTTTGAGAAAAACGTCTGCCTCGAGAGAAAGCAAACCCTTCTTCCCATTGATGAATTTTTCTTCTCAACTAGCTGATCCCCTAAAATTCCAAAACAATTTAAAATGTTGTTCCCCACCTGTCAGGTGAGGGTTGTTAGATTTTATATCCCCTTTGACATTCATATGGGTACTTGGGTAGCCAAATTATTCATACTATAAATCGACGCCCCCCATGTGGGGGTCTCTATAAAATCATGCCCCCAAACCTTATAATACTGTATGCTCAAAAGACTCTGATTCTATATATAGTATTTTCCAATGTGTTTTCGATGAATGTTTTCTGCAAAATTCCCTCTATACAGTCAAGGTCACCAAACAGGAATATCAATAGATTATCATAGCACTGTTCCTCTATAGAATCATGATCACTCAATGACCATCAACATGTCTGTCACTAAAGGATCAAAGTCCCCATGTCACCAGTACAAAGCTCACGGAAACATATATCTCAGGGTTCTATCACTTTAGAATCACAACCCCCAGGTCAACTAGGTCAAATTGCACCCTTGTCGGAAATTTCCCCGTGGTATCCCGTGGTCTCCTTTTAGAATCGAGGAACCTGAGTGATTCGATTTTATAGTGCTACAAAACGGTTGCTGAGGAGTACCCAACCACAAACACACAACCACAAACACAGCCACAAACACACAACACAAACACAACCACAACCACACAACCACAAACACAATCACAAACGCAACCACAAGCACAACCACAAACACAAAAAAGACCCACAAACACAACAAACACACAACCACAAACACAACCGCAAACACAACCACAACCACAAACACAACCACAAACACACAACCACAAACACACAACCACAAACACAGCCACAAACACAAACACACAACCGCAACACACACAACCACAACACACAACCACAACACACAACCACAACACAATCACACCACACAACCACAACGCACAACCGGAGGACCCAAGCAAAATCGAGAACCACAAAACTACTACCACTACCACTACTACTACTACTACTGCTGCTGCTACTACCACCACTACTACTACTACTCCCACCACTACTACTACTGCTGCTGCTGCTGCTGCTACCACCACCACTACCACTACCACTACCACTACCACTACCACTACCACTACTACTCCTACTACTACTACCACTACTACTACTACTGCTGCTGCTGCTGCTGCTCCTACAAATACTGCTCGGGCCCCGAAACGGGGCCGAAACTCGGGCCCCGAACTGTGTCCAACAGCAACTACTACTACCACTACCACTACCACTACTACTACCACTACTACTACTACTACTCCTCCTGCTGCTGCTGCTGCTGATGCCATTGCTGCTGCTACCACTACCACCACCACTACCACCACTACTACTACTACTACCACTACTACGACTGCTGCTGCTACTACTGCTGCAAACACTACCACTACCACTACCAACTACTACTCCTACTCCTACTCTACTACTACTGCTCGGGCCCCGGAAGTTTCCCAGGTTCGGGCCCCGAAGCTCGGGCCCCGAACTGTGTCCAACAGCAACTACTACTACCACTACCACTACCACTACCACAACAACAACTACTACTACTACTACTCCTACTTCTTGTACTACTACTACTA